TGGTTTTCCACTCTGATTTTGATCACTGACTCTCGCATTTTTCCTGCTCCCTTTTTAATCATCCTAAAATCTGCATTTCTGAGAACAACCCCTTCCGGTCCCCTCACCAAGCTCTGTCTTGCTAGATTAGATTTGTCAGTTTTGTGGATTTTATGTGCACTGTCTTGGATTTCCCATCGCACGCTGGCTTTCCCCAAAAGTTATTGTTGCCTCACTCAGATCTCCACAATCTGGATCAGAGCACCAGCGTCATCCTTTTGAGCTGCTAATTAGTGCTCCTCTGCCATTTCTGTACTCCCACCAAAATTGTTGCTTTTAATAAACTTCTTAAGCATTTCCTGTGGTGATTGTCATTTTGGGTCCTCAGAGTCAAGCAATTACAGAAAACAACTTTCCTTGTTTATTAATTAAATGAATTTTAAGTTGCATGTATACCTCCATTTGGGTGTATTTAGTAAATATCCTGGGTATAAACCTTAGATACTTTGGTCTAATGATGCCTTTCAACCTAAAACCATAAAAAACTAGTTTTAAAGCAAACTATCATACTTTGCCTCCATCTCTTCACCAGCGCTAACAAAAAAAAATTAACACTTCCTTTAGTTTATTTTGGTTGCTGCGAAGTGTTTTTCCTCTGTCGCCATAACCTCTGCCTCTGTTCACTGACAGTCTCTGTTTCAGTGTTGCCCTTTCTGTAATTCTTAACAAGGCACAGTTTCCTATGTAATAACTATTAATCGCTAATGATGCTGAATGAGATCTAAATACAGAAGCTGAAATTTTGCAAATTGAAAATGAACTTTATTCTGCATCCCCTGAATCAAATGAATAATTATTGACCAGGCCTTTGCAGAACTTACTGACATGTCCAGGAGATTATTTGTTTCTTTGTTTAGGTGTGTTGGAGCAGTGATGCATCTAAAAGTTGCAAGACAGTAGCTGCGTTTCCACAGAATTGTGCAAATTGAAATTACAAAAATAAATTCCTTTATTGCTAACATGTCAAAACTAAAATAAAAATAAACAAATAACATAAAAAAAAAATCCCCTTAGATGTATTTCACAAAACATTTTTTCATGAGTCACGTGATCAACAGCTGGATGTTACTACTGGCGAAAACAAGTAGGAGGATGATTTTTTTTTTTCAGACAATGTGTAGCTGGATCCAAGAGAACTCTCACAGCATTGCACAGTTCATAAAAAGTTGTGTCATTTGAACGCGTTGAATCCATAGCTCTTCTTTAAAACCGCAGACTGCAATTTCCTTAAAATGCTGCATATATGGCCGCTTCAGATTTTACAGAACTTGCTGCTCCAACGCCTGAAAAAGATGCCAAAGTCTCCTGTAATGGCTGATAGATGATTGCTAGCACCAAGGCTGATTTATGAATATATTTCATGTAACTGTTTACATCCGTCACTCCCATGATTCCATTCGTATTTAATAAAAGCACAGCAACTCAAAATTGTATTTTTTTTTCAACATTAGGAGTATAGAGACAAAGATTTGTAGTGGAAGTGCAGCTAGTGGCACACAAGGATTGGAGTTACAAATACCAGCTGTAAAATTAAATTATATAATCCCAATAACACAACAGCTTTAACTCACTAGAGCCCAAAAAATATCTACCAAAAAACCTGTGGTTTAGTCCAACATTCTAAGATAAGATCAAGAAAGGGTTCTGGAAAAATCAACAAACAATGACAAATTACAAATGTAAAATATGTAAAATCAAAAAAAGTCATTATGTGGTTAGGATCTTTACTTTTTTAACAATATGTATTTAATTACTGGTTTGGTGTTTTGGGACACTATCTGTTTACGTGTCTCAGGATGATGTGATATTATTTTAATGGATCCTTTTGGGGGTTTCTTTTGCTTCAAAGTGTGTTTTCCTCAGACTTGTGGTGGCCCAGTTCCCAAATGAATTGTGGGAAAGACGGAACCTATTGGGAGCGAGAAACCAGGCCAGTTTTCATATCCATCCTCTGTCCATTCCTCTCGGCCCACAAATTAACCAAGTCATGTCTTGGTGTATTAATTCCTCTCATAATTCTTTGAGCTAAATTTAGCGACATGGACTTGAGTGACTTGCAGAGATATTCGGAGGGAATTAGACCGTCTGAAGCTGGATTAACACATTAGATGATAAATCCTGAAGCAGAGAGTCAATTTAGTTCTCTCAATGACAGATAAAGAGAAGAATTTCAGAGGATGAAGTCAGGGTGGCTTTCAAATCCTGACAAAACCGTGTCCCGAAGGGCAAAACTGCTCTCACTTAAGACAAAAGTGGGTTACGCCGCTCTCTCCTTTCCATCTTCCTTGTCTATCCAACGCAGCGTTTCATCACAGAATTTTCAAAGCCTTTCTGCAGAGAGCGCTGCAGCAATACAGGTGATTGATCATCACTGTGTTTCCTGTTTATTCCCGAGGGAAATAACTCCTCTCCCTGAGAGGATTCATCACGGCTAAGACAAACACCCACTCACATTCTCAAACTTTTTTTCTCCTCCTTTTCGGTGCTGCTTTCCTCACACGCGCGAGTGGAGCCCGGTGTGAATGAAGTGTGCGCTTGCAATTAATCTGGAGGATGGACGTGCCTGTGTGTGTGTTGTTTTAATCAAGTACTTTTTAAGCAAAGTTTCAGACATTACACACGCTCAGGCTGACTGAGTTGAACATGAAAGCTACTGAGACTCATTAAACCGCTGATTACAGCTCAGAGAGGACGGTCGTGAGCAGCTGCTGAGCTCACAGTCACGGACAAAAAAAAAGAAAAAAAAAACACGCCCACACATTCTGATTTCCATTTTTAACCAACTTTAAACATCGTGTGTGTTTTGTTGAGCTGCTTACACAGCTGTTTCCAACATGGTGTTGGTGTCTCTTTGAGTTTAAGTGAAACATATTATATTCAAATTGGCCGTGGGCAGTAATATGGTAATTTGTGTCTTGGAGTATACAGGAACAGGCAGTATAACTTTAAAAATCGCCACTATAAATGCTGAGTCCCTTTTTATGTTATGGCCTAGAAAAAGTTTGAAAAAACACAGTGGGAACTAGAAGAGAACAGATTTTTTTGTTTTTGTTTGTAATTTTCACATATAAAAATCCAAAAAGTGCTTTTAAATCCTTCCATTAAAGCTCTGCCTATATGTCTAAGACCTTGCTCAAGAAAGGAAGTCCCCCAGAATGATCCTGCCACTACCATGTTTCACCATGTGAATTAGGTTTCCACCAAACATGGATTATGCATGTTGGTAGTTTGTTGTTTCCTTGTAGGTTGTGGTTGCAGCAAAACTTTAAACAATATTTTCTGTGAATTTCTTCTTACTACTCTACTCTGGCGGCCAGAGTAGATTGATGGTTGTTACTGTATATCAGCAGAGTCTCCCAGCTGAGCTATGGATCTCTGCAACTCTTCCAGACTTACCATGAGTCGATTTGTTGCTCCTCTGATTAAGCTTCTCCTTGCCCAGCATGTCACCATTTAAATAAGTTTATATTGTATGAGGCTGCACAGTGGCGTAGTTGGTAGAGCTGTTGCCTTGCAGCAAGAAGGTTCTGGGTTTAATTCCTGGCCCTGGTCTTTCTGCATGGAGTTTGCATGTTCTCCCTGTCCATGCATGGGTTTACTCCAGTTTCCTCCCACAGTCCAAAAACATGACAGTCAGGTTAATTGGCCTCTCCAAATTGTGTGTGTGTGCATGGTTGATTGTCCTGTGTGTCTCTGTGTTGCCCTACAACAAGGGTTTAAAAGGGCTTACCCCACCTCTCACCTGGAACCTTAGCTGGAAATAGGCACCAGCACCCCTCCTGACCCCACTAGGGGACAAGGGTGTAAAGAAGATGGATGGATATATTGTATGAAATCTTGTTGCTTCATTTTGTGACACTAGGTAACTCAAGCAATTTGAGTTTAATGTTTTCTCCCCAAATTTGTTTTTCTACATTTAATTTGAAATATTTGCTGTTGCTCCCGTAAAAGGAAACATAGTCAAATCCAAGAGAGTCTATTTCCAGTTGAGCAGAAAAAGAAGCAGGAGGAGGCTGCAGGTCCATGTGCTCAAGTTGAGATCCAAACTCAGCAGCTCTCCCAGTCGTTGCCACTGACAACGCTTGCTGCTGGCAGGGTTAGGTGGAGTAGGAATGCCAAGCTGCCATGATCTCCCTGCGGGACGAGGCCCGAGCGCCTGGTCCTGCTACTTGGCTTTGTTCAGCAAAACCCTGCTGGCTTGACTCATCATGCTGCATGCACCCAAGCCTATTAAACACTCACATTCACAAGCTTGTAATTGGACCATTTTCATCAGAAAGCATCAACTGCACAAAAAACAGAGTACAGTTTACATAATTGGTTAATCATATTGATTAACAATATGATTGATTTTTTTATGTACAAAATCAGAGACAGTGTCTTTTGGTAGAAACTGTTTTAAATATGCATAAATGTCTTTGGAAAGTGTTACACTTTGTTTTCTTTGCTCTAAACCCATCTGGACCTTATATTAGGAAACAAGTCATGTTTTGTGACAAGACTTTTAAAAAAGAAAGTTCGAATGCATAATAATATGCAATAGCATGAATAAAATACAACCATAATAGCCTTTATTGCCCCACTATCTGGACATTCAGGTGAACCAGCAGCAAAAAATAAATAAATAGATAAAAAAGCTAAAAACATAAGAGCCTATAGTGAGGGCAATTTTACAACTCAAGAGAAATAACACTGCACAGTCAGTAAAATCTGCATTTAAATACATTTGTAACTGAGTAGGGATGTTTAAAAAATGTGTATATCTGCATAGAAAGCATCAACAGACAATCACTCACCATTATTTTCTCTGAGTTGAAAGAGATTCAGAGTTGAACTTAGTTTAATAGAGTTTTGTGGATTTTTTATTCAGGTGTACACTTCAAAAATACAGCTTGTTGCATTGCAAAAGGGCCAAGTGATGAGAAAGGACGTAACATCTTTCTTTCCCACGCTGGTTTCAGATCCCGAGGTGAACTGACATCCCGCTGTGTGGCGTCTGTGCAGCTGCAGAAACTCTGGAAGCTACTGAAGAACAAAATGTTTGCTGTTAAAATCAACTTCCTAACCCTCGCCCTTCTTCTAATTTTGCCTTTGGTAAGTTCTACATTTTTCTGATTCATGTTTCAGTTGACAGTGGATCATCATCAGGATCAGAAGCCGGCTTAAGATCTGAATCTAACTCAGATCCTGTTTGACAGTTCGCAAATTACCAAAGTAGTGGGATCAAAACAGGGCTTCACTCTGTTTATGTTCACAGCAGAACATAGAGAAGGCTTGTTCTGATTTCAGCTCGTGTTATTCTTTTTTAAATAATAAAGTTAATTTAAAAATGAATTATTTGTTTAAAAAAAAAAATTCAAAGTGGATTGGACATAGACCAAGAATTGGATGGACAAGTTATAAAGTATTGTGAATTTTCTCTAATCAAATGGTTATGAATGGAAATGTGATCTTTCCTCTTGGCAATAAGGCTATATCCTATTTTTGAAACAGACTCATCTTTTATGCCCAGTCCATAAATTATCAATACAGAGGCTAATTCCATTAACCTAAATTCTAACCTGTTCAATTTATTGCAAAACCATTTATTATTTATATTTGGGGTCATTGTATTGCTCAAACCAATCCAACCCAGCTGTGTACAAGTTTGAACCATCTGGTAAATAATTTGAGGTGTGTTTGAAATAATCCTATTCCATTGTGTGAGGCAGTAGAACTGCTGGTGCTAAGGCATTCATGCAGCATGATGCTACCATCTCAGGATTGAAAGCCTCCCTGTGACTCCCACAGACATGGTCATTGTGGATTTTTCTTGCCTCGCCACAAAATTCCTCTCTCGAAGAATGACATGTGTAGCTCCTCACATGAACAAATCCCCACATGAATCCTCAGCATGAATGAAACTACACACTTCATTCATGCTCAGTTTGTTAATTTAAGAGCAAGGACTTCTGTTGCGGTCAGCACCCACTTAGTGTATGGTGATACAAACTAACTTCAGTGGATAGTAACATTGATGTTCCAGAATTTTCTAGTGAATGCTAAGACAAAGCACTGGTAATGCCAATTCCCTGTCTTCTTATGGGAGTTATTGGGATGATGCAGACAGATGTTTGTGACACCGCCTGTCTTCTGCACAAGTGAATCATCAGTTTAAGTGTAGGAAAATAAAGTAAACCAACCGAGTCAGCTGCAGGTGTTAACATCATCTGAATAAATTCAGCAAACAAGGATTGATTTTCACACACTTAAAGTAACCATATGGAGTGTCTGCGTCAATAATTCATTGATCAGCATGTGGCAGGAACAATGGATAAAGCTCTTCTCTCATCATTTATTCAGTGTTTGTTCAGCGTTATTCTGGGCTGTTAACTGTTAAAAGTTCATCATTCCTGATCGGCCATAAAAACTGTCCATGATTGTGCTTTTTTGTGTGTTATTTACGGGACAGGAGATATCACAAGACCTCTGTCTTCTTTGGGATGAATCAGTTTCTAAATGTGCAGCTGGGTTTCCTTGGTTTCTCAAGATTATATATACAGTAACTTCACTAAAAGGCCTTGTTTAGATTTTGCTGTTGGAGGATTCTGTTACAAGTGGGCAGCTCTGAGCATGAATCCTCACACCTGGCAGAAAAATAAGACTTAAATTAAAGTGATCAGACATAATTTTACAGGTTTTTGTCCAAAATAACACTTTATTTAGTTACAGTCTACAACCTTATTTCAAATTGCATTAAATTAATCTCTTCCTTTGAAGTTCAACATACTAATACCCCCTTATGAAAAAAAAACACATTTTGAAATTTTTGCAAAATGAATAAAAATAGAAAACTAAGCATTCACAATCTTTGCCAATGTCTTAACATGACTGTGTGAATCCTAACATGATTCACACGATTAATCTCTTTATTTATATACTTTTTTATCTATGTAGAAGTTCTGTATTTTATGCCTTTTCCTTTATTTTCATATTAAGCTCACCATATTTACATTGTTTTTATTGTGTGTATTAATACGTCAGTCTACTAGAGTCAGTTTGCTGTTTTGTTCATAACCACGTTTGACTTGTTCAGCACTTTGGTGACATTCAGTTGTTTTTAAATTGCTCTATAAATAAAGCTTTGACTTGACTTGATCTCTTTTCGCTGCTAAAACTCAATGTTTAAATGCTCTCCTGACACACTCTATAGCTTTGATGTGACGTATTCCTGACCGGCGCCTGCACTGAGACACAAAATTCACATAAAAAGACCAATTAAGTATCCCACTCAGCCTGCCTCACCTCTCAGAGGGGCCGTAAAAATGGTGTACGTGGTCGTATCTCAGAGCTGTGATCCTCTTTATGATCTCTATCCCCGATTGTGAAGACGTCACTGCAGCAGACACCTCTTTCTGTCCGTGTCTGAGCGTTTTAGCGATTGGGAGCAAGTCCTGGCCTGGACCAGTGTGAAAAAAATGCATGCCTGAAAGCTTCTGTTTTCAGCAGACTAATGCGGTTATTCCAGGGTCAATTCACATTGGGATGGCTGCCAGCCGCTGTGCAATGATTTACTTAACTGTGCTTAACCAGTTCCCCAAGCGATGACCTCTGCTATTTGTGTGTGGGTTTTTTCTATTCTATTTTTCAGGGTTCGAGGCAACAGGTCCCTTCTAACTGCGTCATCAAGAGGGAGCAGGAGAAATGTATGGAGATGATGGCTCTGGAACATTCAGACTCAGAATTTGGTAGGTTCTTAATTCCTTACCAACATAGTAATTGTTCTTCTACCAGTTTTCAATGAGGAGCTAATTAAAATAAAGTAACACTGAGATTAATAATTAGAACATCTTTAGGGTCGTCACACTAATGAACAGTAGATAGTTCTACCAGCTGTGGTTAACACTAACCTGCTTTGTCTGTAGGGAGATGATAAAATGTTTCTCTGCGCTCCCCTGTGTGTGTAAATCTGCCTTATTAGATGCATGAAAACAATGAGAAATCATTGTTTTTCAGCCTGTGTCTCCAGTTTTTATACAGAGATCCTGATGGTTTTGAGACTTTAAAGTTGTCTCATGATGATGATGAAAATTCAATCAGATTAGTGACTGATGGGCATCTCTCCTGCAGTAAGTATGGAGGACGAGGGGGAGATTAGACTGAGCAGCTTTTCTTCACCATGTTCTCTGATTTACATGGTCAGAAATAATAAGAAAGTGTTTCAGCCTTTTTTTATGTTTTGGCTGATTTAGGCATTAAGGCAAGTGATGCAATATGATATTAGCTGATTATGCTAGAAACACCCTATCTTGCTCTGAAAAAAACAAAAAAAAACAAATGTCTGCTTGCTGTGTTTTTCTGGGAAATAATGTGGCATATGTATCATTATATAAAAAAACTAAATACAAAAACAGAAAAACAGAACAGTAATTTAGTTTAGTAGAAAACATCTCTTATTTCATAAGGAAAATAAATGTGTTATTCTACAATTCGCTGATAGCCAACCAACCGGGCGCTGAACTTATAAAGTGGTATTTTGGTGTTTTTGTGAATGTGCCTTTTAAAATTAAAACCAGGTGCTTGTGTTCACGCTGTGTCCTCAGACTGTCCGTGGTTCTGGGACAATCTTACATGTTGGCAGCCAGCCAAGGTAGGGGATGTGATCCAGATGAACTGTCCAGAACTCTTCTCTCAGTTCATGAGCGAGGAAGACTACGGTCAGTCCTGTCATATTATTATATATATATATATATATATATATACACATAGTTATTTCTTTAAGGAAATAACTGCCTTTTTTTCTGTGCCAACAGAACTGGGGAAGGTGAGTCGTAACTGCACAGAGTTTGGCTGGTCAGAGCTCTTTCCTCATTATATTGAAGCCTGCCTGTACGAGGAAGGAAACAGCAGCCACCCCCCCGTGAGTTTACCACTGGCTGTCAGGTTCAGACCTTCATATCAGAGCCTCTGCACTCAGTTCTTATTGTATTCATGTTTTGTTTTTGTTTTTTATTTTTATTTCAGGATATGTATTATGTGTCAGTGAAGGCTCTGTATACAGTGGGCTACAGCACCTCTCTGGTGTCCCTCACCACAGCTATGGTCATCCTGTGCAGATTCAGGTGAGACTTTCAGAAGAAGGAAATTTTGTTATTGATGTGTTGCATATTTGTTACAGATAAAACATAAAGTAATGCTTAAATAGTTTAATGTGGCTAAAGCTAAAAAAAAAAAGTCAGATTGAAAGTCAGAAGGCCATGCAAATAAAGCTACTAAGAATCATCCATCTAATCAAAAGTCAAAAAGAAAAGATAACAAAGAAAACACTTGATACCTTGATGTGTTTTTTTTTTTTTTGTCATTGGATAATGTACCAACAATGTTGTGTTGGGAGGGATCCAGCAGCTGCTTGAAGATAGCAAGAATCACGTTTAAAGAGTCTAAGGTCAAATTTGATTCTGTGCTATCATCTGTGTTGGTGCAGTACTGCAGAGTGTGCAAGGCTCGGGGGGGCAAAAACAGTTTCACAAACTGTCTGTATGGATGTTTGGGGTCTGAATCTGCCTGAGGGGAGTGCGATGAAGAGGTGATTCAGTTATTCAGGGATGTGTGGGGTCCCGCAGGACTTTTGGGACCCTTGTGAGGAACCAGCTGCCCAGGGTGCTGGACGCTGCCCAGCAAAATGAAAATGCTGCCAAAATGATGATTATGATGTTACAATTACTGCAAAACCAATAAGTTCATTAGCATTTCGGTTCAGTTTCTTTGCCCCTGATAATTTTTGCATCATATTTTCTTTGATGATCAAATAGTGCAGGCAGAGTGGCTTTAGCATGGCCTCTGACTAGTTTCTCATCAACTTTGTTCAGTTTAAGCCTTAAAAAACCTTAAAACAAAACATTAAGGATAATTTCCTAAGTTGCTTTTTTTGCATGGATGACACTGACAGCACTATGTTTTAATAGGGTTCTCAGTAGCTGCTTATAAAGTAGCTAGTAAGTTGATAATTAAATTGAAAATTTTGTATGGTTCTATTTTTAACAAATGTAAATATATATATATATATATATATATATATATATATATATATATATATATATATATATATATATATATATATATATATATATATATTTCCACTTAATTATGCATTTCCACTTAATTATGCATCGTTTTGTGTTGGTCTATGATATACTATTAAAATACATTATAGTTTTTGGTTGTAATGTGAAAAAGTTTGTATGCTATGAATACTTTGTACAAGGGAGCAAATTAAAAAAAAATAAAATCACAACATCCTAAAACAGAAACGTTATGTTTGTGAACTAAGTCCCAATATAAGCTTTTTCTGACCCATTGCATTTATATTTCTTTTTACTAACAATTGATAATGTTTATCAGCAGACAAAATAAATTTGTAAATGCTTGAATTTGAGCACCTTCAGCATGCAAAGCTCTTTGGTTTCCTCACAGGAAGCTGCACTGCACCAGGAACTTCATCCACATGAACCTATTCGTGTCGTTCATCCTGAGAGCAATTTCTGTCTTCATCAAAGACAGCGTGCTTTACGCAGAGGAAGACAGCGACCACTGCTTCATACACACTGTAAGTTACATAAAGACACACACACACACACACACACACACACAGGTCCTTTTTTCCTCTTGGTGATTCTTAGCTCTCTGCTTTCCATCCTTCCTGAAGCTGGAGTGTCGAGCTGTGATGATATTCTTCCACTACTGCGTCCTCTCCAACTACTTCTGGCTCTTCATCGAGGGTCTGTACCTCTTCACTTTACTGGTGGAGACTTTCTTCCCTGAAAAGAGATACTTCTACTGGTACATTGTCATCGGCTGGGGTGAGATCTTTAAACCTAGCCTGAATGAGGTGGTCAAACCTTTGATGCATTGATTACATCAGTGTTGGTGATTTTCAACAGGAACGCCAACAGTGTGTGTGACCATCTGGGCGGTCCTGAGGCTGCACTACGATGACATAGGGTTGGTTCTAAATAAATGATGAAAGAAATCTTTTTGCTGAGGTTTGTGTGTGCATGTTGTGAATATTTTTTGCTCTCGCAGATGTTGGGACATGAATGACAACGCTGCCATCTGGTGGGTGATAAAGGGACCAGTTCTGGCTTCAATTATGGTGAGAAATTATGATAAAAGCACAACATACATTGTCTCGACAATATATACCGTTTTACGGTTTCCACATTTTGTCCCATTACAGAGTTCTTCCAAAGCCAATTTGAGTACAGTTTTCTTTAAATTAAGATGTTTTCTTGTGTCTTTAATGCCTGAATGGTGGTGTAGTATATATATGTGACATTCAAAATAGTGTTTAATCAATTGAATTTACCCAAGTTGAGCATAATCACGTTGTTGAAGGTTTTCAAGGATTATTGGTGGAAAGCAGAAGCACCTGAGCTGTTTTGAGTGGAATGGGGATAGATGTGTACTTATGATGTTCAAATGTTTACATGCTTTAAAATGAACAAAAAAATATTACAAATGTCATGTTTGGTGATTTTGTGTAAATGAAAGAAAATAAAACATATTTGTTTTAGAATATCTAAGTAAAAATCTGGTAAAAAGGAAATGGGTACAAGTCAATGGTGAAAGTATTTTGATAAAAGATTTTCTATCGTTGGATGCTTTACACAGTTAGATCAAATAAATTTGAATATTAATGTGAGTACTGCCACAGTTTTTCTATTATTGACACAGATTAGTGAAATTTTTCTGTGTGTGTTTGCAGATCAATTTTGTACTCTTCATTGGTATCATCGTCATCCTCGTTCAGAAGCTGCAGTCCCCAGACATCGGTGGGAATGAGTCCAGTATTTACCTGTGAGTATATCTTATTTCACATTTTATGTCTGTTTCAAAAACATTTCAGACTAACAACAAGTGAAGCTTTATCACTACTTTGGCTTCTATAAGTGGGCTTATGTTGCACGCTGTGTTGCAGGAGACTGGCCCGTTCTACTCTGCTGCTGATCCCCCTGTTTGGGATCCACTACACCGTGTTCGCCTTCTCCCCGGAAAACGTCAGCAAGAGGGAACGTCTTGTCTTTGAACTCGGTCTCGGATCCTTTCAGGTGACTCCGTCCACTTCCTAAATAAATAAACTTAGCTTATTTACTCGCAGAGCTTTTACATAGAGAAATGTGTGACTTGAACCTGTATCAGACTGAATCTACAAATTTAGGGTAATTTGATTGAGACATTTAAAAACATTACCTTGGTTTCCCCCCACTGATAGAGAGAATAAATACACATTCACTTGTTCTTTTTTCTGAATAATTATTTAATGTCTGTTGGAATCCATTTTCTAATGCACCAAAAGAAACGTTGTTCTTACTTATCTTTATCTTATTCTTCCTTCTCTTCATTTATTATTTCTTAAATTTGTCAAGAAAGAGACGAGATAAGACATCAGAACTGAAAATACATACAAAACTAAACGTTTTTCAAAACTGAAATATTTGCTTGTGTTTGAATATAATTATGTCCTCTACTTCAAAATAGATTTCGTCTCGATGAGAAGTCAGAAAGACTTTATGCTCACAAACTAGGAAACTAGGATTTAATTTTCGCTCAGTTCTATAAAGTTTAATTCTGTACGGTTTTACAAATGCTAACTACTTTTGCAGGTCACTAAGTTGGCTTTCTAAATTAATCACACTATGCAACAATGGTACAATCTGACATATTATATGTAGAGTTGCATCTCCTTTTAGAATTAACTTACATCGTTCTGCATAAATACTGTTTCATATTGCTAAGACATTTGTGTTGCAACTTTTATTGCAGTAGCTTAAAGTTTAACTGAAAAACTTACAAAAATCAAACTTGATTTAATGGCTGAAACGCAGAGGCTTGTTCTGCAGCAGATGTGGTTCAATGTTCAGTTGTGTTTTGTTTTCCTCCAGGGATTTGTGGTGGCCGTTCTCTACTGCTTCCTGAACGGAGAGGTAAGTCTCAACTTAAACATTTCAAATCATCTCATTCAAGAAAGTGTATCAATACAAGTTTCAAGAAAAAATTAGCTCCAGATTCCAGATATTTAACTTACAAAACCTAAATTGGCAGGTTAGATTTTTTTTTTTTTGATTTTACTCCTTGAATTTATTTTTACTTAATTGTTATTTGTTGTTTATTGTGTAAATAACAATTCGCAATGAATTAAAGTTTATATTATATTAAATCTGTGAAGTTTGTTTGGATATAAACAGCTCATTATGCAGAAAGAATGTCTTCATAATGTGAACGCAAAAACTATTTAGAGGTATTTCATTTGCAGTTAGATTGCAACAAGGCAAAGAAAGTCAAAGCTACGTTTATAGCATATGTTAATAATAACAAGAATAATTTTTCTCCACACATTTTACCCATTAATTTATAATGGTGGTCTTTTACATGTGCATGTAAAAACAAAAAGGCTGTTGAAATTCATAAAAAAAATAGTGAAGTATATAAATTGATGAGCAATAATACTTGTAACACAGAAGTATGGTGGATAAGAAAATATTTCTTTGATTGTAAATAGATAATAATGTAGATAAAGAAAAAGACACTAAGAAATTGTGATCTAAAATGTAGGAAATACCAAAAATAAAATAGAATAATACAAAAAAAATCAAAAACCTTTACACAAACCTTTACATCAATTAAAATTGAAATATTAAGTAATGTCATATTTTCTAGATCAAAATATGCTCAAAGCGAGCAAAATTTTGTTTTCTTGTTGCAGTTTTTAAATGTTCGTATTTATTCTTGAATCTGTATTTTCTGTTAGTCAGTTTTTCGTTAATAAATAATTGCAATAATTGATTACATGCTTTTTAAAATAGTTTTTAATCTTTAATCTTTTGGTAGAAATTACATGCAGTATTTAATGTTTTCCTTTAGTTTTTTAGCTTATTTGTTTGACATGCAGATGCTTTTGGAGCTATTTTTCCAGCAGGGAAAAGCAGATTTTGATTCAGCACAGATTACTTCAGGTCAGTCGTAGAGAATGAAGGGCAGAGAGCTCGTCTCTATCTAGCGCGGTCCATTAATAATGACCTTGTGAAGTATATCCCTCAAGGTGCAATCGGAGATCAAGAGGAAATGGCGCAGCTGGACGGTGAACAGGTACTTTGCTGTGGACCTGAAGCACCGGCATCCTTCGCTGGCGAGCAGTGGGGTGAACGGGGGGACGCAGCTGTCCATCCTCAGCAAGAGCAGCTCGCAGATCCGAATGTCCAGCCTGCAGGCCGAGACCCCGGCCACCTGAGCGGCCCCTGTGGGGATGTCTCTACCGGTCCTGCTGCCGCCGCTGACGACCCCAACCCGCCCACCATCGTCCCAATGACCAACCTCACCGACCCGTTCTTCAACACAGACCCTGATGAATCCACCATGGAGACACAGCTGAACTCCAGTGACCCCAAACAGCCTCTTGTGTGAACCTGAATGTGCCAAATAAGGACTCACTGCACTCTGCTGTTTCCTGGCTGAAACATTAAGAAGCATCGCCATCTGTCTCTATGTGTTGTGATAGTTTTAAAAGTTGTCTGGTGCTGCTGAGCAACATGACGGGACCAGTCCGTTAATTAGGGACGTCCTCAAACTGTTGATTCCAGTCCGTCCAAATGTTCCTCAGCATTCCTGTTTAGCTAGTAGCTGCAAAAAGACACTAATCACAGAGCTGTAAATACATTAGAAGAGTGAGAGATTAATTTTCATTTTACATTGGGTTTTATTTACTTTGCAAAAAAAAAAAAATCTTGTGTGACAGCTTCAGTGGCTTTGCAGGAGCTGCTGTTGTGACTGTCAGGATATCTTGTACATTTTGAATCGGATTAATCCTGTCGCATAGATGACTGAAACGTTAGTGGAGAGTAAAAACAATAATCTGCGTTGCATCAAGCGAAATGTAACTGTGGCTTAAAGAGCTTACTCCAAATTCCTTGCCGACATTCAGGATAAATCTTGCACCGATTTCCAACACTGGTGTCTATAGCGACTTAAAGCTGCAAGACTAAATTCATGTAGTGACCTTTTAAAGGACAAAGAACCAGAGAGAACCTGCTGGTGTTTGTGTCTGGTTTCACCTATAACATAATTATTTAGACAAATGTTTGCAGCCAATATGATATAAAGTGACTATAAATGATTTATTAATATTATTCCTTACTGTCAAGCTGTGACTGCGCTACAGCGAACATGTGTGATGAATCCAAGCAGACAGAAGAATGTCAGGGAGAAAAATAACCAGTGGTTTTCGGAAAGAAATGTTTTCTACCGTTATGTGAAAAGCCAAAACAGACGCAGGGTTTCGATTGAGACACGCTGAGGTTTGTCTAATACGACCACAAACACCTCTTTTCAAAACTTCAGCGCTGCTCAGAGGACAGCCACCAGTACAAAAAATGTCAATGAAAACATTGTGAGTTCATTTACTTGCATGAAGTTGAAGTAACTGTTGTTATGCAGTTGTTTTTGTCTTTTTCTCTCTCTCTTTTTTCTGAGAAGTCAGTGCTTTAACTGGATGCAAGGTTTATTTTAATGTTGAATGGGCTGCTGTGGAGACAGAGCATTGCAATATTAATTATTATGTCGCATCTACTGTCTCTCTAGCAGAGATAATGTAAAGGTCTTCAATGAAAGGTCTACATCCTCTGAAACCTCAATCACTTTCCAGTTTGTGTTTCTTGAGGTATTTGGTGTCTTGTTGCTTGAGAACCCAAGAGGAAGGATTATATAAAGTATGGTTTAAAAAAAAAATAAAGTACACCCTGTTTTAACTGTTTACATATCACAATGATAAAATGATCTGGCTTTTACCAGGTTGTAAAATAATTTAGACCTACCTTCAAGTGTCAGAAGAGCATAACCAAGTCCATAGTACCGAAGATGAAGCAAAAATGAAGATGCTGTGTATGAAAACCTAAATACATCTTATACTGTAAATCAGCTACTTGTGGGACAGATTTTAGTAGCAGAAGCTCTAAATAGTCATTTTCTTGTTGTTCGACTGGATCAGCCTTTCACACAGCTCAGATTTTTTTTTTTTTTGCCACTCGTCTTTCCAACCATTCTTAAATCCATCAGTATTTACAGATGTTGTTTGTTTTTGCACAGACTTTCAATCAGATTGATGTTTAGACTTTGACTAGGACATTAAATACCTTCATTTTATTTATTTTTGCTTTTTCAGTCATTGTAGATTGGCTGCTGCGTTTGTCGTCGTCCTTTAAAGCTTCATACCTCCCCTACTGTACGTAACAGTTCATCTGCAGCTGCAAGTTCAACTGCAAGATGACCTTCCATGTTGTTTCCTTAATCCCACTTCACAGAAGCTACATCTATTCAGTATTTTCATCTGATTACTTTGCAAATGACCCCATCAGTCTTTTCCAGATGAACGGACCACAATTGTTTCTCTAAGGTTATTGCTGATGACTTTCCACCTTTTCATCTGTTAAATGTTCACCAGCTTTCAAAGAGGTGGCCACACTTGGTTATTTGATCAGATCTTTTAATAAGCAGAACCTGGCTTCTACATTCCTCCTTATGTCATAGTCAAACTAAAAGAGTCTACTTGACTTTCCCATCTTTGAGAAATAACTAAGGTAAATCTGTTGCGTTCTGGACGCCTGATGTTAGATCAAAAATACTTTTTACGACCTGGTTAAAAAAAGTTCATGTTTATTGTTGCCTGATACATAAAATCCTCCAAAATGAAAGAGGGTGTACTTTAATTTTAAGGTTACTGTGGTGTAATCCTCTTATTCCAAATATGACATATTTGATTACTCGCTGAGTTTTTGTTTTGGAGAGGTTGTTTTTGCAGATGTGTCCTTCTGTCCTCTGAATCTCAACACTCCACACTGCTTTGTGTTGCCAGAAGTGCCTTCAAGCACAAAACCAGTATTCTGACTTCTGTTTAATAGAGTTTTCTTTGAGTTTTAAAAACAAAACTGCAAAGTAAAACAGGGGGTTAATGCACAGTTTTTCCTTGCTTGTGGCAAAAATCCTGTACTTAAAACATGGAAGCCTTGAGAGTACTTTAATCATGACTATTTAGTTGTTTTCACTAAAGCAGTGTTTTATCTTACAATTACACAAACACACTGTTCCCTACATCATATGTACACATTTCAGTGAAGTTTTATGCTTTTCAGGAGCTGTAATGGACTCCAGATATTTTTTTAAAAAACATGTAGATTGTGACATTTTCATTAAATGCCAATTATTTATTTATGCCAGATAATGACAGTATTGTATTGTTTTATGTATTCATTATACATAATTTGGTTCATTTTCAGACTAAACAGCATTTTCCTTTGGAGGCTAAAAATGACAAAATGGACCAAAATTGATGTATTTAAGCTTCATCACATCCCTTAACCATTCCTTCTTACACAGAAATGACTATTCCAGACATTCAACTTTGAGCACATATCAGTGTCATTCCCACACGCGTCTCACCCATGCAATGAGGGAAGAGCTGATCAGATACTGTACCGTCCTGCTGTGCTGTGCGTTCACCCTGAGCTGCAGTAATAGCAGCGCAGATCCAGCTGCAGCCATAAGAGGGCCCTGTTCAATCTGGGGAAAGCTCTGGACAATCACGCATCACCTCCCCTCTGGCTCAGTTAAGCATCCATCACAAACATTAAAGACAATCTTAACTGCTTTATTTCCTTTTGGTTGTTGAATAAAGGAGTTGGAGCCTTATATTGCCAGTACTATGTTGATGTCAGACAAAGGAGTTGCTATTATTATTATACCGCATCTATTATTTGAACTTGTTCTGAAGTATGAAGTAGTTAGTTGAAGTCTTCTGTAGCCAACAGTTGTGACTTAAACTGCAGTTTAAATGTGCAAAACAGAAACAAGCTGCAAATGTTGTACTTTGTAAATGTAAATTGAGTTTTATGTGAATAGCTGCCATCTAAAGATTTTATGTCGATTGTTCTCATGTTTTTAATATTATTTTTCTTAAATAGGGATTGTGTTATTAAATAAAGCCTCATGTAATTCCCCCATACTCAGAAAGGCCGATGCATGCATTTTTGTGAGACAAGGTTATAAGAGAGGGTATTCTCTTGAGCTGAAACTACTGTAAAGACTGCACGAGGCAGCAAATAAGCTAAACGGTGTGTTTTGCGGGCGTTAACTGTGAACTGTTTTGTGGAGCTTAGTTCTCACTCTGTAAAAAGTTTTTCCTTTGAATGTTGACAGACATGAGGGAAAGTACAGTGCCATAAAAGCTGAAAGACCTTTCGTTTTTATTGTGAAGCATGGCCAGATTTTTTATTAGTTTTTTTTTATTGTAGTGGCTGTTTTAAAATGATATGCCTAACTATATTGATTGAATCTGCTGAAATGATGACATTGGGCTCAGCACTTTGTTTCTAGGTTGCTGAATGTATAATGTGAGCTTCTTTTAATTGCTCCTTTTTAATTGTTTTCATTATGTCATCTTTTTTTGTGAATATCAAGTGTTTTCGTATATTATGAAAAAAAAAAAGTGTATAAAAATAAATGTTTAACTTGTTGGTTCATTTGTTGGCACAAATTTTTCATGCTGTCCCAAAATGTTCACACCAGTAAATTTATTTAAATTTTGTCACTTTATAACCATAAACCTCAATGTATTTGATCTGGACTTCATTCCAGAGTGCATAGAATAGTTTCATGTAAACATGGACCAAAACTATATTTATACTGCAAAATCTACTTTTCTTTTCTTAAAAAAAGGTGACAAAAATCTCTTTTTTTATCTGTTTACCCAAACAGATAAGTGACACCTTAAAAAAATTATATATTTTTTTTGTAATGCATTCTGTAAAGACAATCTAAATAAATTACATTTTGGGATTCTTTACTAATTAGATGGTTTCTCAAGATGAAAGGCTTCACTGAATTATATTTAGGTGTATCGGAGTAAAGGTACAGAAGAGAAACTCAACCCACATTCCTAGTATTTTATTTGTAAAAAAAAAAAAAAAAAAAAAACTTTTAAAAACCATGTATCATTTTCCCTTCACAATTATGCAATACTCTGTATTGGTCCACCACACAGAAGCCTATGAAATATAGTAAGTTTCTGGCTGTAACATGACAAATTACGTAAAAGTCCATAAATTAGTTCACCAAGGCTCAATACTTCTCGACATTTGAGCAGTGAATTATTACATATGTGCTCCGTTTATCATCATACGGTAAGATGAGAGTACGCACACTCGACATGGGCATCTTAACTTCATATTAATCACACTAAATCATCCTTTCTAAAATTACAAAAGAACACAGAGGCAAATTTGTTCAGCATAAAAATATGTATATGAAGTACAAGGTACAGTTGCACAAAATCAACAAATGTAACTCACCCACGCTGATGATAAACACTGAAAAACGGTGTGGAAAAAGGCACGGTAGTGGTCAGTAGCTGAGGCCTATATCTCCTTCATACAAACATTTAAATATACATGTATATTAACACGTTATATGTATACATTGCCTGTGAAAATAAGTCGCCACCTGAATATAACTGAGCACGTTGCACGACAAATCCTGTGGTGGTGGAAAAAATGTTACTCTGTTTAAGAATGCATTGGCATCAGGCCGAGAAAACATTACTGAGATTGAGAAAACTACTAAAACTGTCTTGAGAAATGTGGTTGGGAAAAACTTGTGAATGGCCATGATCTGTGATCAATGAAGTGTTTGGTGAAATAAATTGAAGTGGAAGAAATCTGCTATGTTCAATAGTGAAAGGTAAAGTAGTTCCACATGCAAAATGTGAAGCGAACTCAGCCAATTGTTGCCAAACAGTTGTTGTGTAGCCATAAGAAAGCCATTAATTAGTGAGCCTAACTGGAGAAAATTCTACAACTTGCAAGGGAACATATAGATTGGACTCTGGAGTGATGAAAGAAGGTCATATGATCTGATGAGTCCAGATTTACCCTCTTCCAGAGTGATGGACACACCAGAAAAGAGGCAGACGAAGCCATGCCTAGTGCCTACTGTACAAGCTGTGGTGGCAGCTGCAGTTGCTCAGATTTATGATCACTATGAGGTCAGCGGTCTAATTCAGTATGGTCAGTGTATAAATCATTTGAGTCAACTGCAACAGTCACAAAACACTGTTCATTCACAAAGACAAAACAAAAGGCTTTTACAGTCTAGTGCTCCAGATGTGCGCTAATGCACTGTGCAACATGTTGCAGACATAGCCACGGATGGCATCATGGATTTTCATCTCCTAAATAGACATGTAATGTAACACAGGAATGACCAAAGTTTAAAGAAAAAAGGTGATGCTGGATCTCTCAAAATCACAGGTATCACAGCTTTTTTTATTTTTATTTATTTTTTTTTATATGGATTGTTGGACAAACGTAAAGAAACTGGTGACAAACACACACAAGCAATAATACCAGGTAACTATTGGGTTCATAGTTTCTCGAAGTAATTGCAGGAAGGTCTTCTGGTCATTATTAAAAGTACATCTATGCGTATTAGAGTATGCACATGAGTGGGTTAACGGTTGGTGTCAAGCTGATAAGGTGTGGCATGGCACCCAGAAAACCTTTTTCAGCCTCTGTCGGTTCTGATAAAATTTGTTGGAGCATGGTTGGAGTCTGGTAGCAAAAATGATAGAGTATACATTTGTGTGCAATGGTCATCAGGGAATTTTAAACAGGTCTGCCTATAGCGGCCTCATGGCTGGAGTATATCTTCTTCATGGCCATGCCAGGCTGGTAACACACAAGTTCTTGACATCCTTGAGAAAGAGGCTTCTATTTACATCTCCTTTTGCAATCTAACGTCATAGGTCCAAAAAAAAAAAAAAAAAAGATGGCTCAGCTGTGAAGTCTGCTTAGATGAAAAGAAACATGGAACCCCTTGGATTCCTTGACTTTAAAAGTAAAACATTAAGAGTGAGAAAAGCTTATAAATATGTTTGATTCTGAATTCTTCCTGAAAGCCAGCAGAATTGTTGTGAAATTGGGTGTTGATGTTGCACGGCATCTAAGGGATTGTAGGAAACCTTCAGTTATTCAGCTAGAGGCTAAAAGTTTAAACGTAAAATATGCCTTACCTACTGAAAAAAAAAGTATCTCATTTATTGATCATATAATTTTACAACTGTCAGAGTAGCAACTGATGAAAAGAATTGATAATCTTTGTATACAAGTATGATTTCCTCTTACTGCACCCAAGAGTTCCTCATAAAGGCATCCGCCAGATTAAAATTATTACCCATAATGACACAGAGTACAGGCAAAAGAAATGGCTACTTATGTTCAGGATTCAGGTCAGTATTGCGGCTGCAGGTTCAGCATCGACTGAGAAAGAAAATGTACACCTTAATCTCTTATTAAGTATTTTTGTACTTATAGTACCACAAAGCCATTTTAGTTTGTGTCTGTTGGGAAAATGTGAACATTTGACATAATAAAAACTCTCTTTGTTCACTGTACAAAATCTTTTATTTTCTGATGTAATGTATTTTGTTGTTTTTAGTTGAGTTGTTTGTGACAAATTTTCTATTCTAACTTAATAAAAAGACTGGTAAATCAAAGCTTTGGGACTGTGTTGAATTAAAATGTACTTCTTTTCATTTCTGCTCCACCTTGATTTACTTCAGTTTTGAACAAGGCTCCTGTTCACCTTTTGTTTTTTTTTTCTTATCTCTTCTTTAAATAGCAGAAAGAGTTCAGTGTTGGAAAGTAAAATGTGGAGGAGTTGCCCCAAAGCAAATGACGTAGTTTTCCAGCAACACTGTAAACTCTGGTGTCTGGGGGGAAATCTGAATGTGCTGTAAAACGTGTGTGGGACGATGCCGACTTCTTGCACAGCAAGTTCAGAGGTCTCACAGTTCAGGATAAACACACCCGCCAACAACCAGGCTCTGAGGTGTAGTCTATGCACAGCATGATCTGTGCGATACAAAAAAACAACAACAACTCATCTGCTGGACCCGTCTCATGGTTTTCAGACTGCAGACACATTGTTGGGTGTAAGGGCATGTGATTCGGAGCTCTGCTGCTCTTTGGGACTGGATTTGTCCAGAACAGATATCTGTGTGACCGTGCTGCTTTCGTTGAACAGCGTACGCCGTCGTTTACTGTAGTTCAGGTAACTCTCAGTCTGCCACTTCCAAAATCGCTTCTTCAACTCAGCCTGCACCTAAACATCAAACACAACTTTGATGAAAAGGTCCAGCACCAACATTTGCTCGCAGTCATTTATATTTTTGACAACACAAGAAGCCATCCCAATAAACTACAAATTATGAAATATGTTGACAAAACCTTGACAACTCTGTTTTGAAAGATTGCAAGAAAATTTGATAACTGGGAAGGGAACGATAAAGAACAAAGAGATCATTTTAATATTTATATGTACAGTACACATCTGAACTCCTTTACCAGAATTTAATAAGTGAGGCTAATTAAAGGAAGAAAGATACCAGACAAATCAACAATTTTATCCACCAGATGGTGGTAATAACCAACTCAATAACATAATCAAACTTGTCCTGACATCATAAAATAGATTTTCAACATTTATTTGAACTTATTGGCTATGTGAGATTCAGTTCTCTGAATGGACAGATCAAAAGAGAGAATATGCATAACATGTACTCACCTCTCCATTTAGGAAACAGTACAGCAAGGCTACAACAAATCCCTTTAAAAGATGAACATGTGATAAAAGTTGTGAAACTTTATTTTCCTTTATTTTTAAAAATGTGTTTCTGTCGTACCTGGAAGGATCCCATGCCAACCTCGATGATGATCCGAGCTTCTGCTCCTGTATTTTCCGGTAGGAAGGCGAACACCATGTAGTGCATCCCAAAAAGTGGGATGAGCAGCAGTGTGGATTTGGCCAGTCGCCTGCAAACACACACAGCAGAGACATAAGGATTACATGGGTATACAGCCATGTGTCAGCACGGATGCTCATAGAGAAGTATTTATGCTCTCTCACTTAAAGTGACTCGTATTGTTGCCACCGACTCCAGGAGACGTCAGCTTCTGAACCAGAATACGGATCACGTTTAGAAAGATGATGAAGTTCACCTACATAGAAGAAAAACATTATATTGTTTACTCAATGTTTTGGTCCTCAACTCCTCTAGCAGCAATTAACAAACACTTGGTGGAGCTGCATGTCTGGTGAGCTTATCATATGAATTACTTCTCAGTCCAATGCTGTGTTGACGTGCTAAAGGCGGAGCGTTGGAAAGAGTAGGAGCTTTTTAAAGAGACAGAGGCTATTTTTAGGATTCCAAGTTCTTTTAGGTTTGACATATACATTATTTGTACAACTTAAGGAAACATAATTACTTAATTGCGATATAAAATGGCACTAAGTGATTGAAAACTTTGTAATAACCCCTCTTTATGGTTCCCTCTCATCATTTCAAACAGGTTAGGATCTGAACTTTGACTGGGCCATTTGACACTGTAAAACATAATCATAAAGAGGACTTCATGGTCAACGCAATGACTGAGAGGTGATCAGGTCTTGTCTTGGGAAAGCAACCCTAATTCAACAACTTTCCATGACTATGCTCAACAGTTACAATGTTTGCCGTTTAAAAACATGGCGCTTTGCATATTGACCAAAACTCTCTGTTTTGGTCTTATCCATCATTAACACAATGTTCCAAAGCAAGTTTTGTTCACATGGAGCTTTGCACACCTAAGTTGTGCTACCATTCTTTCTTAAAAAAAAAGAAAAAGAAAAAAAAAACAGCTTTCTCATAGTAACTATCCATGTAAAATGTAAAATATGATACATGGATAAGGTCTCTGGAGACTGAGATGGAGCTCTTGGGATTTGTTCCTTCACTGAGAAATGCCCAGAGTGACCCAGGGGGGAATGTGCTACATTCTCGTAACTGCTGGACACTGCCTTAAATGTTTTCCACTTATAAAAACATTTTCTCACTGTAGAATAATTGGCTTTAAATAGTTTGAAAATGACCTTGCGACTCTTCCCAGATTGACTGGGAGCAATGTTTGCTTTTCTACAGATTGTTGATGCCTTTCCACCCTGGCATTGTGCTAACAAAGAGCTGATCCCACAGGCGATAATCAATGAACCAAATCCTTTATTTAAACGTACTTGGCTTCAACTCCTCCTTTTAGTTCCTTTGTAACGGGAAAAGTGTTGTTTCTCACACACAGCCTTTCCATACACACTTAATCTTTAACAACTAAAGAAAATGTGGAGTTTGTTGTGTGTTTGTATTGTGATTAATTTAACAATTTGATCTTTTTTAGGATCTACGTCAAATCCCACCTACAGCCAATACTTTATAAAACAAATATAAAGACACTCAAACATACTGAGTTATTTTTGTCTATCATATGATCAAACCTCAAGAAATAAGTTGCTTTCTTGTAACTGTGGATTGCTGCCAATCAGATAAAGAGCTCCCACTTTATCTGCAGTCTACTCACCAGTAGGGAGGCAGTTATTGGACCCTTAATGATCCACCAGATGAAGGCCACATCTGTGTCATCCCAGCACCTGGGATGCATAAAATCCAGCTTTGCAGTAAACTGAGCAATATGAGGCCACACACTTTTAAGTCTCATCATGAAATATGCAACATTTTCTGGAGCCAGAATGTTAGAAATTAAACTGTAAATCTTTCTCTGAAACACCTTCCCATCGTGATTTTTACCAATTTTCTAAAAGGACCATAGATTTAACATCTTCGCAGAATTGCCTGTTTATTGGTTGAGTCAATCTGGAAAAATACTCTTTTGGTGAAACATCAATGCAGAATATTGTTTGGCATGCTAACCCTGCAAATGGTAAAGCTAGTTAAACTATCAACTAGGTTTTAAAATATAGGTGAAACTAATAATCACTCCCTTGGAAAAGGATTTACAATATCTATTTTTAACACTTCTACTAGGTGTTCATACTATTACTGCTAAAGAGTGATCTGAAAGGGATGGAATCCATATAGATACATTTAAGCTTTATGAACACTGGAAATCAGAAATAAAGGTACTACTTCTGATTGACATCTCTCTAAACCAGTTTTTTGGTTTTTACTTAGAAACTACTGTATGTTTAAGCAGCTTAGGATTTTATGAGCTCCATGTTCCCTCGTATCCAAGCACATTGCTCTTTATTCTGGGCTCCTTATAAAGCATCTAAACTTCTTTTACTGCTAACAGGACAACAAATACATTTTCCATAAGTTCTGGATAGGGAGTTTTATTTCTGTTCAAACTGAAACCATATTTAGAGTTTGCCATATTGTTCAATTTCTAATTTACTTGTTCCTCTGCTGTACTAAGCAGCTTATCACCTCCAGAGATACAAACTGGCTTGACATGTCAGATTACAACTCTAGACAGGAAATCTAGAGAGATGATTTCTAAGTCTAAATTTGAAGTTCAAAAAATGAGTTCTAGCTAAAAAATCCTTTCTTCTAGCTAAAAATGTCCCTTTTAACATGAAGCATATAGGTGATAGCATTGTTGTTTAAATAAAATATCTGGCTATTTCAGTGTCTACTTATTCTTACAAGAAAAAAACAAATCTGACTTTCACCAGCAGCCACAGCATTTGCTCACCCCTTATTATTGTAGAAGTTTCTAGTGAGAATCCAGGTTGCAATGATTATCGTCGGTAGACCTGGGAAAAAGGGTAAAAAAAAAAAAACACACACACACAGAAACCAAATCATTACGCAAAAGAAACTTATTACTGCTCTGACAAGAAACTTTGAGAAAGTAACAGAAAAACCCACCCCAACCGATTAGTATATACCACCAGAAGTATTTCTTTTGAAAGACGAAGGTGAGTGCTAGCAGCGTCTGTAGATACATCCCCTCCACCAGTAGCCAGAAGTAGTTGGCCAGGATACTAAACTGGAAAAAGGCCACAGCAGACTTGCAGGCTGTCTGCCAGACAAGGCAAAGACAAACATCAGACAAACATCAGACAAGGTTGTAAACTTCACTTAACTTGGCAGATTACATTACCAAAGTTTATAACAACTGTTGTTCATGGACTTTTTGTTTTTGCTGAGAATGGAAATATATATATATATTTTTTTTTCTTCACAAACCAGAAACTTTGGGTGTACAGTCACTGTAGTGACAGAAATTATTCAATTTGAGGCATTAACACTTTTATTGAAGAGAAACTGAAACATTTAAAAATTTAAAAGTTTTTTTTTTTTTTAATTTGCAGATAAATAGACAGATAGATAATCCTAGGGTCACCAGTTTTCAATCCGTACAGATGTTTCTGTATATCATCCCCTTGGTTATGGTGTTCCACGTATTCCTTTCTTGCTGGTATCTTACTCCCTGTTGTAGCTGGGGCCTTGCCTGGTGTGGTACATCTGTGCCTTTATTGCTCTGGTAATCAAGGGCTGCTCATGTGGTGCCGTGACCTCACTTCCTGTACTGTCCATCAGTACAGAAGGTCTCCAGCCATTGGTAGGATTTGGTCATATCAGCCACTTCAGCTAACTGTCGGTGGTACATCCAATGCATGTTCTTTTCCTCCCATGATGGTTCCTTCAGATCCTTCTCTTCCAGTTGCCACTGTCTGAGATTTTCACTGAGCACTTCATCCCTTGGGTCCATCTTTTTAATGTGTTCTTGGAGTTTGGATGACAGCTTTGATATACTCTAGACCTCTGCCTCCTTCTGTGCTTTGGGATTTATAAATACTAATGTGCCAACATACAGGGTAAATTGGCTTCTCTGGCAGAGATCCAAGGAACAACTGCTTACCCCAAAGCACATAAAGACCCGTCTCACATTTGACAAGACATTCTTTATAATTATCATCATCATGAAGTTTATGATGATGATAGTTTTGGGAATGCATTCTGTGAAATGACAAGACAAAAGTGGAACAATTTTGGAAGTTGTGCATAATCTCATATTTGTTCCAAAATTAGCACAACATTTCCAAATCAGATCATCATACTGACAGTCCAACATTATCGTGACTCTTTGGGACTACTTTGCTTCCTCAAGACCCGAGAAGCTTGCCATAATTGATTATGTTGACCTAACAGTTATTGCAAACTCTTGATGAGAGTTGTTGCTGCTCAGATCGTGCATCTAGCTGTTAGGTTTAGAGGACATTTACTTTATCCCAGAGGGCCAGGTTGGTTTGGATTACTTTGAAAACTGTTTATTGTATTTACGCAAGTCAATTTTATCCAATATTAAAATTTAGTTTGATGTTCTAAATACATTTCAGGATGACAAAAGGCCAAAACAGAAAAAGTCTGTAAGAGGAAAAACACTTTTTCACAGCAGTGTAGTTGTCATGGTAATGGCATGATTTCTCTGTGGTTTGCTCCAGTTGTGTTATCGACAGCTTCCCTGTTTTCCTGCTTTATATTTAAAACTACCACTGTGACAGCATCTAAAAGACTCGGTTTTCTGGACGGCAACAACTGCTGCAGCCACTGGCCCATGAAGATGAAGGGTCAGAACTAAGCAGAAGTCATAAAAAAAAACCCTTAATTTCAAGGTGGACAGGAAAGATTTCTCATTGAATGAATATGACAATAAATTATGTGATCAATGACTTGGTGTAGATCCTGCTTATTAAGAACTGCCCAGAGGTCACTGTCTGACTTGAGGTTATAAATAAATCCAGCTTGTTTGTTGTGATGGGTACAGAGAAGTAGAACATCCATGTTAAGCTGAAGGCCATGTGGCCACTGATTTGCTATGGACAAACAAATACCACAGTCCTGGCTGAGAAGGCACAGCAGTGGCTGTATTTTCTTAGAAAACTCAGGAGAGTAAACCTGTTACAACAGCTCATAACATCCTTCTATAACTCCATCTTTCACAGCATCTTGGTGTGGTATGGCTCTGCAGAAAAACAGAAATCTCTACAGTGATTTATAAATACTGCCAGGAACATCATCGACCAACAGCTACCTACTCCAGACAATTCATCAACCGATGTTGCCTGCAGAGAGCATACAATATTCTGACAGACTCACTCTATCCTGCCCACCACCTGGATGAATTGCTGCCTTCGGGGAAAAATAGATCCATCAAACTGATACTTTAACATTTTTTAACAGCTTTTTCCCTACATATATTTATTCTATATTTAGTTAATTTTTAACTAAATATCCTAATGACTAGAGTCTATTAATATTGTTGGATAAGGTGATTTCTGTTTTATGAATTTGAACTGCAGACAAGCACTAGAGTGATAATAAGTGCTGCTATTAATACATCATTTGAATGTGGCAGTGATAATTGAGAATCTCTGCCATAGGCTGCTTTTCCACATATTCATTTTTGCTTCACATCAACCCCACATGAATTTGATATGTTTTTTTTTTCTTTGACAACAAAAATCTTGATCCAACTTTGTATGTCTACCTTTGTGATAGTTGCACAAAAATGCTGTTACTTAGGTGGCCTCCCATACAATCAGTTGGCTTGTAGATAGCATCTAATGGTTGTTATTTAGAGTTTACAAGATGTCAGTCTCTGGAACAGTTCTCTAACAGTAAGCTTCAAAAATTGATTTTTCTTTCCAATTTAGAGGAGTCATTAGTTGGTGACAGCAGCCATCATTGGCATTTCTACAGCACTATGTATGTTCATTATCCATTAATTCTCAGTCTATAACTTAAAAATACAAATACTGTTGTCGGAAATGTATTATTCCATTTTGACAGTTTGATTAACTAAATTTAAGAAAGTAAAATGGTCATCTTCTAGACACTGGTGTATAACATCCAAAAACACCAGAGTTTTACTTACATCTTTTTTGTATTTCCATTCATATTCAGACTTGGAAAGATGTCAGTCACGGTGCATGTTTTGTTAGTACTGCAGAGGAAAACTGTACGACTCTTATCCTCCCTATTTCAGCCTTACTTCCCATCTAAATGAGTCACAGAAAGTGCTGATGCTGAGGCCTCACAAACAAACAATAGGGACACTCACACCTCTCACAGCAGCTTTATCAGCAGAAAAGCAGGAAGTGAAAACCTCATCATTGATGCTCTGAGACATCCCCTGTATTTTTATCTTTCTATCTCTCTCCTTTCAAGACAACAGGTCAAGTAAACCTGTCCAAGTTGTTCAGAGGAGGCACAGAAGCATTTTCAGATGTTGGGTCTACAACAATTTCTGCTTTTACAAAATTCTTACTACTGGTGAGTTGGTGATGAAACGTCAGCACTCACAGTTGACATGAAGCAGTGGTCCAGATCTGCATCAGAAAAAAGAACCAGGTCTTTGACGAAGACAGCAGTGGCTCTCAGGATGAAGGAGAAGAACAGGTTTATGTGGATGTAGTTCCTGGTGCAGTGAAATTTCCTGCAGAGAGAGAACAAATATATTTGAATTACCTTGTGTTTCCCCACTGTGTGTGTCTGCATAAATAAAGGTAGCAGAAGATTTTAAATTGTTACCTAAAAACAGTGAAGACAAAAATAGCTGATATAAGTGAGATGAGTGAGGTAGCATAGCCAGCAGTGTACACCTGTTTAAAGTTGGAGAAATATGTTGTCTAAAAGAGACAAACAAAAACAAGTTAGGACATTACATTAAAGTGCTCTCCAACAAGTTGTTCAATAATCAAAGAAAGAAAATGTTGAGTTTGCTGAAACTTAGTGAATGAATAACTTAGATATTTTAGGGAGATTCAATGATGATCATTGAAATTCTGAGGAAAGCAAATTGAGTGAGAGTCTGTTCAAATAAAAGTTATGGGTATGTAAAAAAAAAGAACTTTAGTACATATTTTTTTATATCTTTAATATGATTTGACCTTTGAAACACAACTATGTTTGGAATAAAAAAAGGGGTAAAGAACATTACTATTAACCCTAATCTGGTTGCATGTTGTAAATGTGTCCCTGCTCTAACACACTTGAAACAAATAATTGAATTGCCTGGTAAATTCAGCCATTTGACTCAGCTCTGCTGGAACACAAAATCTGTGGGGGCTGTGGATAAGAGAAGTCTTTAAAACTGAGCTGAAGAACTTTGCAAAACAGAATGGTCAGATAATAGCAAGTGAATATGTGCATGCTGACAGATGAAGTTGAATGAAAAGATGCTTCAGCAAGTATCAGTAGAAGGATCCACAACCAGGTTGTGGCACCTGTTTTTTCCCTGCCTGATTTGTTTGTTATACAGTGAATTTGTGTAGGGTTTATATCACTAAGAAAGTTTTTTTTTTTTTTTTTTTACTTATCTATCATTATCAGAATCTTGCTTTTAAACAGTACACATCTGAAATCCATAAGTTGAATATTTGTGTGCTTTTAAAACACAACTTAACCTGTACAGATGAAAATATTCCCAACTCGTATAATGTTTTTTTGTTCTGTATGTCCAAGTGCAACAAAGTCGACAGCAGGGGATTTACTGTAATAAAAACAGTAACATTTTCTGTTTTTTTTTTTCTGTAAGGACTCATATTGTTGCAGAAGAATGTTATATTTTTGACATCTGTCATCTACTCTGTCTAATTATGAGCATAATAAGAGCAGAAGTTTATAGCCAGTAATTAAATCTCTAATGGTAGGTTCTTACTGTATAAGTGCTGTCAACCAAAAGTTCACACTATACCACAGCAACACAACAGTTTTGTCTGAAAGGTGAAAATAAATTTAAAAATAAAAATGGGCAACATTTAATCAAACCCTAACCCAACAGGAAATAATAATAATAATAATAATAATAAAAATGTGACCCAGAGAGTAGAGGCCCAGCACAATCAATAAAACAAAAATATTCACAATGATCAGTTCAAAATATAACTCCACTCACATAATAATAACGTCTTACCACTGGCTCCTGCTCTTCAACATCTTTAAACACACAGGTGTCATGGTAGTCCAGGAGTTCGGACCAGCCCTTTTCTGTGCAGTTCCTTGAAACATATGCTAAGAAAAGATAAAGACAGTAAAGAGTGGAAATGTGCTAGAGGTGTAGCAAAGGAAGCACTTAAAACCAACTCTGATCTCTGATATAAACTAGGGCAGTTGAAGAGTTTGGAAATGGACTACGTGGACGTTCTAGAGGGACTCTAGAAAGTCAAATTGCAGAAACTCTTCTGAATCTCCCACTAAGGTTTCACAAAGCTCCCCTGGGTTCAGAAAGACTAAAATTAAACTCTGAGGGATGGCTCTTAAGTCTTGGTCCTGGCCATTGTTTGTTTGCACTTACTCTGCTGTAAGGTTTTTACAGAATAATTTTAACCACTTACAAAGAATCCAAAACAATGTATGGAAGAATCAAAGCAACACCCCAGGTATGTTTTGGAGGGAATAACATTACAACCAATAACATTACATTAAGCTCCAAAAACGTCGATTTTGCATAATACTGCCCCTTTAATGCATAAACTTACAACCACTATGACACATAATGATACTCAGGATGTTTTTGTTGCTAGTTTCTCACTTTTGAATATCACCCTGTAATAAATAATTCATCATAAATAAATGTTTATAAAACTGTATAATTGATGCAGAAAGACCCCTGGATAAGCCCCAGTGTTCTTCTGATCTGAGAAATATGTTTCTGATGACACCCTGATGATGCACATGTTAAGAATTGAACAATGAATTGGACAGGTGTCTGGATCTACATGGGGAAAAATTTAGGGGAAAAACCCCCATACTTGTCCCACAGTACATGCTCAAGTGAATGCAGTGTGCTATGAAACTGTCCCTCTTGCTTCCTGCTCTGAAAGCACATTCAGCCCGTGATCTCATGTGTTCAACTTGAGTGATGTAAAAGACGAAATTAACAGAAAGCAGTGTTTATTTTATGCATAAAATGATTATGTAAGCCAGGATTGAGGGCCTTGTCACAGTGCACATTTCAACGTTTTTTGACATAAGAATAGGATTTGGACAATAGGTAAACATTTAGTGAACCTGTTTCAGAAAACAAATATATGATGGTCAAACAGAAGTAGCCAAACCCTTGTCAAAAGTCAAAGCCAGTGGGGGATGGAAAAGGGAAGAGAGATTAACTGTTCTTTCAGCATAATGACGTTAAAAGCAGCTGATGAGGAGAATTAAAGCCAGAATATCACAAGAACGTTTTTTTCAGAGACAGACAGACAACAATTATGTTGTCTGGAGGAACAAAATCAAAAAGATTGATGTCTCATGCAGTTCTTTAAGTCACTGTGGGAGCAAGAAGAATCTGTGCTTAGAAAAATTAAGAAATTACTTCTTGAATGTTGTGTTTTTAAGTCAAATTTTTCAAAAACTAACCTCTGCAAACCTTCAGAATATGGTATGTATACACTCCTTTACTCCTTTGCAATTTTCTCATTCACCATATAAGCAGCACACATGCAGACTGAAATACCAGCTGAAAAAGGCAACACATGCAGTAGCTAGCCCAATTACTCAAAAAAAGGCTTTGTTATTATTATTATTATTCTTTTGTACCCGAGATATCAAGAAAAAAGCTTGTCATAAAAGAACTAGATGGTTGTTGGGTTAAAAAAAATAAAAACAAATCCAGCCAGGAACATGAGGATGATGATGATGATGATTGCCAACTTTATTGTAAAGAGAAAAAAACAGCAAAGAATCCCTTTCACTGTATACAAAATTACAATAACAGAAATGGATCTGACCTAGACAAAGCTAACAAATGAGTATTTATACCCTAGAAAGAAGCTGAGGACAAACAGCGTGCAATAGTTGGAAAGCCAGTATCACATGAAAAGTCTTTTAAAGAGGGAAGAGAAATGGGCTGATTGTGGACCATGTGATATTCACAAGGGTTAAGGAACAGTCACTTGTAGCTAAAATCAGCAAATACTCCAGACACCTTCTAAAAATGCCAATGACTGTCTATAGTAGCAGTTCGCACATCAAAGATCCTAAAATACATGGACAGTGAAAACCATCTTAGCACTATTACAGAAGTTAATGTCTACAGTCTTCCTTATTTTTATGCTTGGAAACACAATTAGAACCAGGTGTCTGGATCTAATTGCAAAAATCAATGTGCAGCTTTGATAATTAATTCCTAAAGTATAGGTGGAATGATCGGTAACCAAAGTGCAATTCTGACAATTAGTGAAGAGCACATGAAGAAGATCTGAAACGGAATGAGAAGCAGGTGTGATGACAAATTGACAAAGCTTATTCATAAGGCGCTTTTCTCAAATAGAGTCACAAAACAATTTACAACAGTTAAAACTAAATTACAAAATAAACAAGAAGACTCGCATTAATGATGCAAATGTAGTAATAGGTAAATAGGGAACAAGTGTTTATTGTTCGCAAACAAGAAACCTTTGTGATGATTAGTCAACAAGGTACAGGTGTGATGATTAACAAGAACCAGGTGTGACAATTAGTAAAGCTGGAATAGACTAGAAAATCCATTCATATCCATGAATTCCAGCATGAGTGACATCTGTGTCAATGTTAAAAAAAATTATTGCATTAATTTATATGGTGCCTTTTATTCGCTTTTGCATTATTCTTCACAAAGTGAAGAGTATTGACGAATATCAAAGCAAAAGACAGAAAGTGAAAGTCTGGTGATGAGGAAGAGCAACGTTTCAGTGAATGAATTATGTGCTCATTATTTGCTTCTTTATTTTTGTGTAGATTGATACTTCGGGGGAAAAAAGCCTTCCTATATGAGTCCAAGATCAAATAAAAATATATGCACAGAAATTCTTGAATTTTAAAGTTCATCTTGACCAGCTCAACTGAATTTAAATGAGCTGAATTACATTCTCTGTTCTTCCACCATGGCCTGCAGATAGAATGGAGGAGCTCAAATCATGAGTTCCTGAAGTTTTATTACGCATTAAGAGGTTTTCAGATACCAAGACTGAATTCACCCTTTCAGCAGAAGTGACAAAGTTTACAGTGAAATGCTAGGTTTCATGAAGTGAAATTGCTATCCAGCTTCTCGGTGCAGAGTGTGGGGGTTTGAGTCGTGGGTGGATTTACCGATATCCAGCAGCAGAACAACGTAGTATGTAGAGCCTGCAGCTACAGCAAATGGTTGGATGCGATTTAAGGTTTGAAGGTTGCGACTCTGGGGACAATGCTAAAACTCATATCGCCTCGTTTAACAAGCAGTGTTAGCTTCAAACTCATGCTCCTGGCTCTTGACTGAACTGTTTGATTTTCCAATTCATTATTTTATTTTATTTTATTTTTTTTGCAGAGTCCCATTGGAAACTCTGGACCAACCTGTGGAGGAGGAAACCCAGCAAGGTCCAGGGAATGACTAACACTGAGTTATGAAGTCATTCACAATAACCTTCGTCTCCTGATGCATCCAAGCAAAGTTTTCAGTTAGCTTTCACTCATAATCATTTTTTTTTCTTGCACTAACAACTTCACTACAGGAAACACGCAAGTGTATTATCAGCATCCACAATCTGTGTAACCACTCTGCTGTTGCTAGTTTGGCTGAGAACCATTAGGTGACATGACATAAATTTCTTTGCTTGTTCCAGTGCAATCAAAAGGTGCAAAACCAAGCACATTGTTGATGGGCATAAGTCTTGAGTCAGTCAACATTCTTGTCCATCTTTCATCCTAGCAACCTGCCTTTCCCATAATATTTCAATCAAAATATCATCAGGCTTTAAGAAAGTTTTTTGTCTTCTGCTATATTTTATACTCTTTTCAATGTTTTTATGCACACGCTGCACTATTGCTAAATCCAGTAACTGTTTTTGACAGACTTTTATTGTGACAATTTTACATTTGAATATACTCTAAATCATCCTACTGTTGCTCTGGTTGTAGCTTCATAGTCGTAGACCAAACTCAGTACTAGTCTCACACCATTTCTAACCTCTAACAGGTCTTTTTTCTGTGTTTAGATGATCATCAACTTTGACCAACTCTCCTTGTTTCTTGCACTTTGTGTGTAGAAAAATGTTACATTTGGTTTCATTTGACAAGAACATCTGTATCAATGCTTCCTGTGTCTCCTTCATTGTTTGTAGTATTTTTGTCAACTAAGTTTTGTCTTTCTTTGTTGAATCCTCATTTGCCCCAACATTCATTCAGAGCAAATGAATGCTCTAAATGCATTCATTTCCTCATTTGCTCTGACATTCATTAATTTTTCCATCATTTCATCTATTTTTGCTGTTTATTCCTTCCTGTATGTGTGCATTTATTGTTTTGATGAAAGAAAAAAAAAAGACCAGCTGGATCTGAGAGGGGTCTGGAAGAGACAGGAGGGGTAATCTAAACAGTCTGTGCACACAGACAGGCAGCAGTGCACACTGAAAACTAGACAGTCTTCATAAACCACTCAACAAAAACACAACACCGTCCCAGGGGACCTCCAAAATAACATGGTAATTTTTCTGGGCTGTGCTATGATGGATGATCAGAACTGATCATAGTATTAGATTTAAACTATTTAAACAGGATTCTTTATTTTGTTTAGAAAGAAACAATGAAATTCAGCTTCACAATGTCAAATCATTGTAGCTTTAAGACAAATTATGGACTGAAAATAGTCAAGGAGAGAAAAAATCAAGAGAATGAAAAGGTCAGCACAGCTGCTGGCAGGAATATTAATTTCTTGCTGACCAGAGTATTTCTACGGGACTCGAATCATAAACATAAACAACTAGCATATATTTCAGAGTACATTAGTTGCTTTAGAGCAGGAACACTCTCAGAATGCAACATGCAACAGCACAAAAAAAAACAAAAAAAAAAAACAGACACACCCACACATCTCAGAATTTCAGTTGTGGTTTTTATGTCACTGACGGTGTTTTGAAAAATTAATTTACCTTGGTTGTCGGCAAACAGCTTAGAGATGTTCGTACATGAAACCCTGATCACCTGTCCCACATTGGCCCGGTGCCAGCAGTAAATGTCATCCCAATCTGTTGGGCAACCTGGGAAGACAATCAGAATGTAATAAACATTTACCAAAGTGACTGCACCGATGTGTTCGGGGTTAACACATTTAATAAAATTATACACATTAATCAAATATTAATAGACAGCTATAGTTTGTTGACTTTCTTGAATGTGTTTGCTTAACCTAAGAGTTAATGTTTCTCTTCTCAAAATAAACTGGACCTTAAGAGCAAGACATTTTGATCTTGCTATGTACTGTCATTAAAAGGCAAAACAAGCGAAAAGGGAATTTTATGTGCCAGAGCTCTTACTTTATCTACTTTCAAAAAAAGCCTCAAAATGTGTAAATACTCAAATTAAAAAACTGCATTGTAAATAAGAAACGTTGGCTTGTGGAATGTGGGATTGAAGAAAATTGTATAATACTGGTTTAAAATGAGACTTTTATTGTCATTAAGAATCAAAACTGTTGACTGAATAAATTTAACCCCAATGAGGGTGTGAATTTCAAATGTACAATCAAAAACAAGAGTTTGCAAAATAGTTGTAGTGAAATATGTAAAGATATTTAATGATAAAATAGCACGTAATTTACCTTCAACATGAGACCAGATCAAATTTTGCATGACTGCATTTTATTGAAGTATTAATAATGTTAACCAGGAATGTATTTCACAGGACTTCACTTCAGTTATATATATATATATATATATATATATATATATATATATATATATATATATATATATATATATA